TGAAGAAGCAGGAGGGTTTATGAATAACGGTGCAGCCAGCTCTGTGCAACAAGCAGGTTGTCACACACCCCCCCCCTTGAGAAGTCCCGAGCTAGTAGGGTGAAAAATCCTTTATACGCCTCATTACTTCAATCTTAGATTTTCTCCAAGCTTGCTGTTTTGTATGCGATCAATGTGTTGACATTCTTATGAGAGAGGTAATTTAAATGCTCAACTCTCTATTAGAAGTTATCTACTTTTATTTAAAAGTCAGAAGAAGTGAAACCATGGAAATCTTCATGGTCGCTTTCCTCATGGAACAGTTCCTGAACTTTTCTGTGTTGCTCTTTTTCCACTTCTTCTGCTGTAGGAAAACAAGGTTTGATCTGCGATATATGAACCACGCGGAGATCTTCTCCAGTATCCTCCAGAACCACTTCATAATTTACAGGGCCAGTCCTTTTCATGATTCTGTAAGGACCTTTCCATCGTGGAGCAAGTTTGGCCATAAAAGATTGATCAGCCTTTGATAAAGGGTGTGAACGAATCCATACACGGTCTCTTTCTGAGAAGTTTCCATCTCTTCTTCCACGGTCATAGTTGTGTTTCTGTCGCTGCTTAGCTTTTTTCAGATTGACATCAGCAAATTCACGGAGCTCAGCAATCTGTTTTACTGTAGCATAGACAGGTGTGTCAGGGTCACAAAGGGTTGGACTCAGCTCTTCATCCAAAGGCCCTTTCAGAGGTCGTCCAATGTTGAGCTCAGCTGGAGTCACACCAGTAGATTCATGCACTGCAGAGTTTAAAGCAAACCGAAATTCCGGTAGGTATTTATCCCAACTCTTATGTTTGTTACTGACATAGGATGAGAGCATAGCCTTGATGTTGCGATTAACTCTCTCCGTAAGGTTAGTTTGTGGGTGATATGCAGAGGTTTTCTTTGGTGTGAGATTCCATCTTTTACAGGTCTCCTCGAATACAGAAGAAATAAATTGTGGACCTTGATCAGAGAGAATGTATGTTGGCACTCCCCATCGTGTCAAAATCTCTCTGGTCAAGTATTGGGAAATTATTTCTGCAGTAGCTTTGCGGAGGGGAAACATTTCAACCCACCGTGAGAAATAATCCACAAAAACAAGTAGATGGACATTACCAGTAGAACTCCGTGGAAAGGGTCCCATAAGGTCCACGCCCAACATCTCCCATGATGCACTCACCTCTGTCTGTTGCAACTTGCCAGGAGCTTTTCGGGTTTCAGGTTTGTACATTTGACAGACTTGACAGGATCTCACATAGTCCCGAACATCAATGCTCATCCTCGGCCAATACACCAAGGCTTGTAACCGTTTGTAGGTTTTGTATCGTCCAAAATGTCCAGATAAAGGGTCATTATGATTGTGATGAAGTAACTGTTGACGGAGTGATGGTGGAATATAGACTTGGTAAAGAGTTTTGTGTGGTAATTGAACAACTCTGTAAACCTTGTCTTCCAGGATAGTGTACTTTATTGTTGGCGACTCATGTACTGTTCCTTTGTCCATTATTTGTTGGTAAATGTTTTGTGCGAAAGGATCCTGCTGCTGAGCCTTCCAGATGTTCTCATCTGTCACTTGGAGTGGGTGAGAAGTGTCACGTTGCGACCGGAGTACGACAGCACAGGTAACTGGTGAATGGTCAGAGGCATTGATTGGGGCTCGTGACAGAGCATCTGGAACAGTGTTATACTTTCCTTTTCGATATTCCACTGTGAAGGAGAATTCTTGCAGACGAAGAGCCCACCGGATCAGCCGAGTGCTAGGTTTATGAGTTTTAAAAACCCAGATCAGAGGTGAATGGTCAGTCACAACGGTGAAGTGTCGTCCTTCAAGGTAATATCTCCACTTTTCAATGGCCCAAACAACAGCAAGACATTCTTGCTCAGTAGTAGAGTAGTTCCTTTCAGCTTTATTTAGAGTTCGGCTGGCAAAGGCCAGGACTTGCTCGGTGCCTAACCCAGTCTGCTGAGCTAGAACGGCTCCCAAACCCACATCACTAGCATCAGTATAAACAATGAATGGCAGTTTGAAATCTGGATGACCCAGAATGGGTGGAGAGACCAGGTGAGTTTTCAGAGCATCAAATGATTTTTGGCAAGATGGTGTCCAAAGGAATTTGACTCCTTTTCGCTTTAGAGCATTGAGTGGTTCTGTCAAGGCAGAAAAATCAGGCACAAAACGATGATACCAGCCAGCCATTCCCAGAAATCTTTGAAGCTGTTTAATATTCTGGGGTACAGGAAATTCTTGAATGGCTTTAATCTTGTCTGGATCTACCTCAACACCAGATGAGGATACTATGTGTCCCAGAAATTTTATGGAGGAACGGAAAAACTGGCTTTTCTTCATGTTGACTGTAAGGTTGGCTTCACGAAGTTTGTCCAACACGGCTTGTATATCGGCACTGTGCTGATGGTAAGTGGTTGAGTAAATGATGATGTCATCCAAATATACAAAACAAATTTTACCTCTGAGTTCACCCAATACTACTTCCATAAGTCGTTGAAATGTAGCTGGAGCATTTTTCAGGCCAAATGGCATAACCTTAAATTGGAAGAGGCCATATGGACAGACAAATGCAGTTTTTTCACAGCTTTCTGGATCCATGCGGACTTGCCAGTAACCACTGTTCAAGTCTAGTGTAGTGAAAATCACTGCTCCAGAAAGAGACTCCAGGATTTCCTGAATGTTTGGCAATGGATATGCATCTGTATGTGTGACTGCATTTAGTTTTCTGAAGTCGACACAAAAACGTAGTTTGGGGTCATTTTTTTTAGGCACCAAGACAACAGGAGCGGCGTATGGAGATGTGGATGGTTCAATGATGTCATTCTCCAGCATTTCATCTACATGCTCCCTAATCATCTGAAGTTTAGCAGGTGAGACTCGATATGGTTTTTGTTTAATTGGCACATCTTGAGAAAGGTAAATCTTGTGAGTAAGTACATTCGTGCAGCCCAACTCTGTGGTACATACATCAGAATTGTTACGCAGTTGGCATAACAATGACTGTTTCCCAAAGTCATCCTGGTGTGTAGTGTGAACTGCCCTCTGCAACAGTTCATCATTGGTCCCAAGGGCAACCAGAGTAGCAGGAGCCACTGCAGAGAAAAAGGCAAGTTGCTGATGGGGTTCATTTGGCCAACATGCAAACTCTTGAAGAAAGTTGTAATGTTGTTTTCTGTTGAACTTGAACCAATAACGTTTTTCTGACACATCAAACTGCAGGCCAGAGAGGGAGATGAAATCAAGACCAAGGACAGCAGGAAAAGTGAGGTTTTGAGCAGATAGAATAACGCATGGTAAGGTGATTGACTGTTTTTGCAATGTGATAGTGATTTCGCTCCATCCCAGGGGATGCCGTCCTTCACCATCAGCCAAATATAATGGTCCTCTCGTCCAAGGCTTTATCACTCCATTGATTTCATTCCATACTCTCTCATTCATCAGAGTATAAGAAGAACCTGTGTCCAAGATAGCAGCTCCTTTCCAGGAACTGACGGTGATGGGAACCATCAACTGAGAAGGCAGAGGTTTAGTTGTTGATGTGGCTGGAGAACAGGTTTGGTCCAGAAGTTGAGAGTTTGTGAGGGAACCAAGAGTCGCTGAACTTTGAGCTGATGGGAGTTGGGATGAACTGCTACTTGGCTGAGGGAGGTTTGGAGAAAATGATCGATTGTTACCACCATGGGGGCAAGTTGCTGGAGGATGATTTCCTTTACAACGCCAGCAGAATGGTTGGTGTGGCCGATTGTTATTTCGGTTGTAATTTGGTTGTCTTTGCCTTACTGTGTTTTCATTGTCATGAGGTTTAGGTTCATTTATTTTAGATGGTAAACTTGCTTGTTTCCGGTACTCATACTGTTGCTGATGTTCTCGATCCTTCTCTAGCTGTTGTCCCAGGCGGACAAGTTCATCCACAGTAGTTAGCCTACTACTCCTTAGCTGACTGGCCAGTGTTGGATTTATGTTTTTCAGAAGCAGCTTGACAATTTCTTCCTCTGAAATTTGTGGTTTCCAGCGTCTGCATAGGGATTGGTACATGTACTCAAAATCCCTGATGCTTTCATTCTCTCCTTGGACTCTGGTCCTTACACGTTCTGCAAGCTCATCCTCATAATCTTCAGAAAGAAAAGCAGCCTGGAACTGTTTTCGGAAGTCAGTCCAGGTATGCACCTTGTGTCTGGCTACGTCCCACCAATCTCTGGCTGTGCCATGCAACACATTCCGTAGGGTAGCCATGAGTTCCTCATCAGTTAAGGAATGAAGGGCCAAATAATCCTCACAGCGTTCCAGATACTGCAGAGGGTCGGGGGTGTCTTCTAATTTTCCATAAGTTGGAAATAACAATTTAACAGGACTTTTCCCCAGGTCTCGACTTCTATTAAGTAAAAAGGTAGCGCCACCTGGTGCTACTTGGACACCTGTCATCCCAGGCTGAGCAGTAGATTCCCACCGGGGTTTGCTGGTAAGTGATGTTGTTTCTGGTAGGCTATGGTAGATTGTCTGTGCAGTTTGATCCATTTCTGTATTCTGTTGACAGGTTTGAGCTGGTTTGATTCCGGCTCTAATGTCCTCAGTCATAGTCTTTATGGATAGTTGCAAAGACATGAGCTCTCCCTTTAGGCGAGAAACATCATCTTGCAAAGTGGAAATGCTGGTTGTAACCGGGACAAGTAGCTTGCTGAATTCCTTTAGCAGCTCAGTTTGTTGATGCTTGAGCATGAGACTCTTAATCTCAGGGTCATGGGTTCGAGTCCCATGTTAGGTGCCAATATTTTATGTGACGGTTTTTACAAGGTTAATTATTTTAGTTTTAGTTTTTTTTTTAACAGGGTATTTGTCACTTTTTAGCGGTGCCAGTCAGGTATCCCTCCTGACAAGTAGGATCAATATATATAGATTTTTAAACCAGTCACACAAGGACCATACACTTTTGCGTGTGTAGACCCTAACAAATAAGGAATGAAAACTTTTCACAAAAAGACAACAAAAAATTAGGCTTAACAGTCCTTGTATTTCAAAAAGAAAAATAAATATATAGCCATCAAAAAATAATCACAAAATTCTTCTCCAAAAATAAATGTCCATTATAATCCAACGGATTAGGGCTCCAATATAGATTGCCCCACAGCAAGAGCTGTGAAATAACAAGAGAAAATAAAAAACATAAGTGTCTATACACAACAAAAGTCCTACAATTGCATAAAAAAAACAGCACAAACAAACATACATAGAATGGACTTACAGGTCTGATGAGAAAATAATCTTGCTCAGAGGCAGGCGCTGGAACAGGTTTTCTGTTGTTGGTTTCACTAGATGAATATATTTAAAATTTATTTTATTTTTTGTAATGGGGCAAAATTATTAATTTATATTATCAGTAAGTATAGCACTTACGGAGGACCTTTAACTGTGATGTCACCGGCTTCCGGGTAATTGTGATGACACGTCAGCACGGCAGGAGCACAGAATGAAGTTTCTTTGTTTGTTTGGTTTTCTCCTTTTCCTTAATGATCGGTGGGATCCAGAACAGTGGCAAAATACTGAAAGCACGAGGGATTAAACGGCCTCGGACTGACTTTGTTACTGGTCGATAGAACGGAATATGCAGACGTAGTAGCAGCAGCTGTTTCTGTTACGCTGTCTGCTGAGACACTGACTTTTTCAAACTGGAGCTAGGAGTCAGATTGAACAGCGGACCAATCAGGTAAGTGCATGTGTTAAATGGGCGTAAAGAAGGTGTGTCTTGAGCTGTGAAGAAGCAGGAGGGTTTATGAATAACGGTGCAGCCAGCTCTGTGCAACAAGCAGGTTGTCACAACCTTAGCTAATAAACAATATATAAATGCACTTGTTAAAAAAGTCATATTAATATTACATATTATCTAAAGAGCCATCCTTTAAATTTATGACTTAGATTATAACTTATTATGCTCTGGTTTACCAAAGAGGACAAATTGCATATGGTCAGCTGATGTAATGAAACCATTTTTGGTTACACGAATGATGCAACTGAATTAATCAATATGAATATGGATGTATATATATATATATATATATATTCCACCCAATGCTATTTGACTTTCTATCAAAACAACTTAAAAATGTCCAAAGGACTGAAGTGCTGCACAATGAACAACAGGAAACCAATAACCACCCTCAGAGGATTTAAATAAAAACCATAAAAGCATAAAACAAACATAACAAAATCAGTAATAGAAAATAATTTAACATCACAGGCTAAGATCAACATAGTGTCAAAAGCCAAGGCAAAGAGATATGTTTAAGGAGCCATTTAAGATACACCCTCTTATTTAAAACCTCAGAGAGACTTAGGAAAAATAGGACTTTAAGGCAAATCCTAAAATGGACAGGGAGCCATTGTTATGAGGCTAAAATAAGTGCAATAAAAGCACTCTCTGGAGACAAGCAATGTTGGAGCCAAAGTACAATACAGTAATCCAGCCAGGTAGTGACGAAGGCATAGATTACTGTCTCTAAATATTCTCTGGAGAGCGTGGGATTTATTTTGCCAAGTGACATGAAATAACTTATACCTATAAATAAAAAAGAATGAGGTAATTATATCTATCTTCACGGACTTCCCAGTCTTTTGCATTGCTTTTTTTTTTTTTTTTTTTTTTTCTCTTTTTGTTTTGTTTTGTTTGTTTGCTTGTTTGTTTTGGGGATCTTTTCGGATAACAGACTGATATGTTTGGGAATTCCTGCATCTAGAACCAAACTAATTAGATTTCCCTGCATATGGCTGTGTGGCCAGCAGGCTGTGATACTGTAAGATATTTACCTTATGAAAACAAAAGCAGCAAATGTGCTCCAGTTATAAAATTGAGTCATGCTATCAGGTGAAATAGATGTTTTCAACCAAAAACAACCTCTTTTAAGAAGTCTGATGTTTGATGCGATCTAACGAAAATAAAGGCCACAAGTGACAGTAAGCTGAGGCTCATAAAAGGGTGAAATGCCAATCATAACATTTTAATGTAATAATTATTGGTTTATGCAGAGCAGAGTTGGTTTTAAATAAGGATGATATAATAATAGGTTCTCTTAGATTCACTTCCAATAGGTTTCTTTGGCATTATATACCCAGGCAGTGTTGATTGGGATGGCTGACATTTTTTTTTTATTACAGTTTATGATTTAATAGAAAATAAAAGAGGGGCATTTTTGTGTATGATGAATTTCTTAATTTCGAATATAAAATCTTAAAGGAATAGTACACCCAAAACATGATTAGCCTTCATTTTCTACTCACCTCCATGCTGAACAACACTCTGGAGTACTTTTTTGATATCTCAAATGCATCTGGAGATCTGGGAGGCTTCTTGCTGTCTGCTGACATTCAAATAATGGAGGTCCATGGCGCCCGAGACAGAAAGGTCCATAAAAGTCCACAAAAACGTGTCAATATTCCTCCATACTGCTCGTCCAATGTAATCCAAGTGTCCTGAGTGGGTAGCATCCAGAATTTACTCGAAACGAAGTCATTTAGAATGTTTTTAGAGCATAAACAGTAGTGTATAGGATTTCCTAATAGCGCCCCCATGCGCGCTCACGATTCTACGGAAGCCGGCAGACCAAACCGGAAGAAAGTGCGCATTCAGCGTCTGGTCTGCCGATAATGCAAGCGTAGAAGAAGAAATGTGCTGTTAACCTGTGCAAAGAAAGAAACAACGAAAGAAAAATGTCTGAGGACTTCAGTGTTGAGGAAGAGCATGAGTTCTTTGCCGAGCTGAATGCGCTGGTTTGGTCTGCGGGCTTCCGTAGAATCGCGAGCGCGCATGGGGGCGCTATTAGGAAATCCTATACACTACTGTTTAGGCTCTAAAACGTTCTAAATGACTTCGTTTCGAGTAAATTCTGGATGCTACCCACTCAGGACACTTGGATTACATTGGACGAGCAGTATGGAGGAATATTGACAAGTTTTTGTGGACTTTTGTGGACCTTTCTGTCTCGGGCGCCATAGACCTCCATTATTTGAATGTCAGCAGACAGCAAGAAGCCTCCCAGATCTCCAGATGCATTTGAGATATCAAAAAAGTACTCCAGAGTTTTGTTCAGCATGGGGGTGAGTAGAAAATGAAGGCTAATCATGTTTTGGGTGTACTATTCCTTTAACCCATTTTTTTCATCTCATTTTAAAATAATGTGATTTTTACAAGACAAAAGTTGTGCAAAAACTTTGTTAAACCTCTGCATGTAAAAATATTTATAGATCCATGTTTTGAGCAGGTTTTGATTTAAATAAATACACAATAAAATATATTTCCATTTTTATTTATTTATTTATTTATTTTTTGTTTTTAACAGTGTCCTGTGTGGCAATGTGGCAATAAGAATAATTGTCTTGATGTCAAAAAAAGGGCCCAACAAATTTTGCTTTCACAAGTGGAGCAGTACGGCTATCGCCATAGTGTTCCGCTTGATTTACGCATATAAATTGCTTTATTATGATTATGCAGGAGGTATTACAGATTATGTGGACACTGCAATGTAAGTAGAACAGGAAAGGGAAAAACAGGAAAAAGAAGAAAAGATGAAATTGTCCCCGCGGGGAACTGGGTGTGTTAGTTGTGTGTAAGAAGCCAGAATGTGTGCATTTTTCAATGCCCCAGAGTAGCATAAAAAATACAAAAGAAAACATAAGTTAAACAAGATGAGAAGATATTCATCACTTTATAATGGTGAGAATTGCCACTCTCACCAAGAGTAAAGTCCTCAACATTTTGCATTTAATGAAACTGTAGCACAAGTGATTACATTTCAGTTATAAAATGAATTAGTTATTATGTCGTTCATGTTCTTACTTAGTGCAGTCAAGTTTGATACCATTAAAATGAAGCAGAAGATTGTTAAGAAGATACTTGATTATGTGCCCTCTGTCACTTCCACTTCCCCTTGCTACTCTTTGAGGCAGTAATCAGGCACACATGATAGAATCTTCCCAAAAGGCCTATAACAGATGATTAAGCTCTTTGTGAAACCCTTCCCAAAATCTCCATGTTACCCATAAGTTTTCTGTCAAAACGTGCACAAGAAGCTTAACGAATTCAACCTAACTGCCGTTAACAGCAGAAAACAGTCATATTAACCCCCAAAAGCCTCTTGTACACCAGGTTTCTTTTTTACAATGCCAGCCTTGTGATATTCAAGAGATTATGTTCTTACTGAGTAATAATTTATAATCATAATCAAACCTGTGCTTTTTTTGTGTGTGTGTTTTTACTTCTTTAAAGTATTGTCTCTTTAATATGTTACCCCTATATGTTGAGATCTAAGTATCATGATTGTTTACCTTACTGAATATTTTTGCACAGTTAAAAAAAGTCTGTGATTATGTGCATTATATGATGCCAAACGCTGGAATCTCAAAGTCCAGCTCTTGAAGGCAGGTGTCTTTTAAAGGTATTACTGTAACATCACATCATTCAAATATTATCCTGAGAAAATTGTTTCTAAACAAATGTGTTTGAGTCTGGTCATCATAGCACTGAAACAGCACTGGTGAAAGTCACTAATGATATTCTCAGGGCCTCATACCCCACAAAATTTGCTATATAACATTCTGCATCATATCATCTTCCTGAGTGTTAAAAGGAACACCAATCAGATACTTTGCAAACTATAAGGTTAATTAAAAAGCCATTTTTCCTAATTCAACAATGCTGATTTTATTATCATTAAATGATTCGTCAGAAGAAAGGTGCTGGTCTAGTTTACCTTATACATGAGGCCTGATTTCACACCTGATAGTTTTTTTTGTTTTTGTTGTTCTTTTTTTTGTCTGGTTTTGTAGGTTTATGCAGTTTCCATCTGTGGCTAAACACATTGTCTTTTTTCAAAAGATATGCTTCAACCTCTTGAAGCAAAAACAAAAGTAACTCTAAAGTTGGCCAACAGCATTGACACTATAGGGAGAAATATATTACCATCTGAGAAATTAAAGGATAAAAATAAAGGTGGGTAGAATAGATGAAACAGTGTGGGAGACAGACTGTCGCTGTTGAGCTATGTCAGACAGTGTTTGATCCAGATAATTAAAAATGACTCTCATGAGGACATGAACTGTGAGTCTCCTACCTATCATGAGAAAAAAAAGAGCCAGAGGCAATTCTCACTTTAGAAGCATTCTGCTTGATCAAGTTAGCTGATATTGCTGCATAACAGATAATGTCATCTGTCTGGAGATAAAAGAAGAAGAAATATTTAAATGTTTGTTTTTGAACAATAATTCACATTTATGGACGTTATTTGGCATATAACTTGATATACATTTCTATAAAGTTCAACAATGAAACACTAGGAAAATATATGCAACGTGTTACAGGATAAGGAAGAATACATGTTTTGACAAAAAATTATCAAGTGCACTGTGGTTAAGCATATGTAGGGAACTTGTGGTATTTGAGCATTTCCTGATGAAGGGTTTGAGGGATTCTCCTCAACTCCTGTGGCTCTCTTAATGTTGGTCTTGAGGCGCTGAAATCATTTGCCTAAGAACAGCAGGTGAAAAGTGGAGTAGCTAGAGTGTGAAGACCGCTTGAACATTTTAAATCAACTGGTCTTTTTGTGTTTAGTGGTGCCAACCTGACACAACAGGATGCAAACTGGCAGGTTTGAT